TGGTGAATAAATGGAAATGACATATTTCCATGTAAACGGAATGCCAGTCTGTTTGTGTCTCACGGGTGAATTAGTTTCTTTTTTTGATGAGAATGACATGAACTCATTTTAGCCATTTTGTTACTTGAAAGCTTTATTGACGTTTTATATCGAGGCTTACAAAAATAGAAAATAGGGAAAATGATTTTTCGAAATACAACTTTTTGTAATAATTGGAGGTCATAATTTGCACACATCTTATTTGCTCTTCCGGAGGAACCAAATAGCGTGTTTAATCTTGGTAAAACCAGGTCATAAAAATAAGAGAAGATGAAGTTGAAAGTGAATCCCCTGCGCTGTGAGCGGAAAGCATCGGACTGACAGAAAGTACAAGCTGTTACTAGTACACACCATATGACACACGGCAAAGGTTTGTCACGCTCCACACAACAATTCACCAACGACAATGACACGACAGCGGCAGGAAAACCCGACTGACACACACTGGAAGCTTTGCATCTCAACATACGTTTAATGGTTTTAGTACAAAACATATCAAGTTTTCGTAAAGTGGTGTGGAGCTGGGCCAGTGGAGGGAGACGAGTCCACTTGTTGCTACCGCGTTTTGCTCTTCTTTTAGTGCGTCAAGAATATTTCTGGAAACTTGGCTGGATGCTAATCACTTGAATACAGATAACAAAACGAAACCTGACTTTATTCCCGAAGACATCCACTCGCCGAGTTCTTCATAGTTCAAAAGTGAGAAAAGCAGATAGCAGACAGTGAACGGAGCGTTGTTTCAGCTCTAAAGGAAACTTTTTAGCAGTGCTTCTATCTCACGGAGCCTCCTTTATTCAGTCGGTAATATTCACAAGCCTGTAAGACTAACGTGCATGAAGTCAGTATGAGCCGAAACTTTGCAGAAAAGACTCCAAAATGCAGCTAAACAGTTTGGATCCGTGATGGGTGACGGAGATGGACCGGCTCGTCGAGCTGTCAGTGGAAGTCACAGACAATGCCAACATGATGCGATCGGATAAATCACACACAAGCGCATACACACATAGCCTACAACATGAGCCCGAGAGTGACAATAAGAAAGGATGTGCTTGTACTTACTTCTCTCGCGCGCGTTTCTCCAAGTCGGTCCGTAGAAGAAAGAGCGAGCGCAAGAGACAAACCTGCACTCTCTGTTGAGATCAATGCCGTTATTTACTACGGCAAAGTGGAGACGTATGCATAGAGTGCGTGTGCGCGGGCACGACTGTGTGTGAGGGTGAGAGAGGGAGAGAGACAGAGAGAGAGACAGAGACAGAGGAGAAACTCATGGAGAAAGCGTGTGAGAGAGACAGCGAGAGACAGCCTGCTCTTGCGCGCCGCTCTCCCCCGGGATGTGAAGTGTTTTTCGAGAGCACCCAGTGCGTCCGGCACTCTCGGCTCGTCGCGAAACCGGCTTTCTCTCTCAGAGCGACTGCAAGACTCTCAGCAAGAAACAAGAAGAGACGCACATGAAGGATACGTGAAGACGCTGCGTCACATGCCCCGGAGTGAGGTAACGGCTCCACCTGACCAATAAGGAAGAGGGACCGGGGACTGTGGATTTTATTTATAAGGCACCCCTCCAAAACAGCGCGCAGCCAGAGCAGAAAGGGAGAGGGAAAGGAGAGGAGCACAGGAGGCTGCGCAGGGTAAACTGAAAGTCAGATTCACCAACCTTTCTTATCTGCGGAGAAGATGCAAAAATTTCGATACCGTTTAAGTGAAACTATAGACACTGAGGGCATTAGTTGTCACCCTTTCTCTGCGTCCTCCTTTTATTTTTCTCTTTAATTGATGACCGAACGTGTCCCTATTTCATGACCTGTGTTTGTCACTAAAATAACTCTAAAGTGACAGTTTTCATTTAAGAGCCACGTTCAGTGATTGATTTCAGTGTTTGCATGTTTTTACACATCGTTACTGCCACAAAAGTATGTTTAGGTACAGGTGTATAACATGCGCTCAGTTCTCTGATTAAGATTTGGATAAACGCGGGGTTAAATTCATTCCATCCGTTTCTTCTCATTGCTCTTCACCAATTCCATAAGTAAAACGAGAGAAAATATACATGGTTTGTGTCTTTAAGCAGCTGTATTTGTGTGTGCGTAACTGTGACAAACTGTGCGCCTCAGCGCGGAGCTCCCTGTTAAAACAAAAGTTTCCCAAAACGCAGGGGAAAAAAATTAATAAATTGATACTTGTGGTTGGGAAGGTTCCCTTTTTCTCCAGAGATCAGAGGTCACCCCTGGAAATGATCAGTGTTCTGCTCAAGGACACTTCAACAGAGCGGAGGGATGTTCTGAGCTGGGGGAGTCTCTCCGTTTCCACCAGTCCACCTGCTGTTCGTCCTTCTAAAAGCACCGAGATGAGACAATAAAAATACTCACAGGAATAAACAAACATGTTTCCACGCCTGTTTTAAAAGGCGCTGCATAGAGACCTCTAAGAACCCCGATTTCTTAAAGACCCAGCACTGAATCCTCCACCGATTTGGTTCTATTGCCCAAATAAATCTGCCTCTCTTGTCACCGTTGCTGTGAAATAATCGAGCTTTTTAAAATGAAGGTTTGGAGTTGTGTGTTTGCTGCATTGCTATGCTGAGTTACCCTCACGTTCTTATACTGTAGTATCAAGGCTCATTCATTCTCATTCACTACTTTTCTATTTTGGCTGCGCAGGCCGTTATGTATAGGACGCACCGCGTGTAAATCCACAGATGCTCGACTGATGAATGAAATCGAAATCCCAGAAATAAATGTATGAAGAGTAAAGAATGGTTCAGGGAACACAAGAGACAGTGTATGTTAAACAAGACTGCGAGGGTCAAATTCTCTCTGTGTATGACAGGTGGAGTGAATATTAAAGTGGAAAGCATGAGGCAGATTTTAGTTTTCAACAGAACCACTTTGAACCAAAGACAATCTCTGGTAGTAATGGAGCTGATAATGTCAGTATCTCTGGTATGATTTTTTTTTCAAGTTTTAAGCTAAAATAGACTCAGTCGATTCCAGTAAATATGCAGCTACCTGTTGTGTATTTTTATTCAGACGTAGATCAGAGTGTTTGGGCCACTTTATGAAAACCACTTATTTTATACTATAAATGAAACGCAGTTGTAATTCAAACTTATTGGGATGAAAAACATTTTGACCGAGCATTGTGTTTATCTTTTTTTAATGTCATTCAAAATTGATAGGAAATTCCTCCATTATTATTCAGTATTAAATATGAGCCGAGCCTCTAACAAACGAGGTGTATCAGGGTTGCGCTTAGCTGTGCCACTTATCCAGCATCTTTCCTCTTAATTAATAACGCGTGGGAATAATCAGCATGTGCACGGAGTTGTACAATTATTTAAAGTCCTCTGCAGCATCGCAGTGCAGCTGAATTGGCTGAAAAAGCCAAATACTAGGATCCAGAAATGCCCGGTGAGCATTTCCCCCTAGGAGCCAGAGGTGCGTTTCGTTTTATACAGGTTGTCCTTGCACGCAGAGGCAAACAGGCCTCGTTTTTTCTAATGATCTCGTGCGGGTTATTTGGCACGGACACGGCAACTAAACTTCACCACAGTCCAACACATAACCCTGTTTTTCCTCACATAATAATGCTTTATGAAAACTGTGGGTGATGCAGTTTTGTAGTTTGGCAACTTTCACATGAACGTGAATCTTTCCTCGTAATATATGTGCGTGTAGCAGCGCATCTGCAAGGGAGCGCAGCTGGAGCAGGAGAACATTAGAGAACAGAATGAAAGTCCCACTAATATGACATGGATGTGCCTCCTGAGCTTATAGGAAAATATATACTGTATTTGGGATGAAATCCCGGTTTCCTGATTCTGAGGCCGAAGTATCAGGGAGCCGTGATGTGCGTGCGCGCTGTGTGGGGGAGGAATCCTCTCATCTCAATCAAGGGGTGGGAGGTAGTGTGGAATTTTGCACGCGAGACGGTTTTGCGGCTAAAAATGGCAAAAATGAGACGTAGAAAAGGAAACAAATGTAATTTAGAGAAAGCTGACAGGAGCAGCTACATTTAAAACACTAGCTAAACATGAGGATGGCCTTTTCTCAGGAGGTTCACAGCCACATAATGACCAATGCTATGAAACAACTCCTGTAGGTAACACTCACTATTTCTACTTTCATTGACTTAAAACTGTAATGGAGAAATATTGAAAATAATGGCAGCAGCTATTTTCACAGCCACGAGTTGAAAATAAATGTTTAACTAGTTGAACCCCCTGTGTTTGTTTGCCTGATGTGACGATGAACCTCAGGAGCGTTAGTGTGAGAGAGAGCGTGTTATTCATTGAATGAGAGAAACTCAGAGCCAGCTGTGAAACTGGGAAAAGAATATGTGTGAATAAAACAGATGTGTGGCACTGCCAGGGTGTTCCTCTGTTTCGGTCACGGTCAGTCACCCTGAGCTGTCCGTACAGTTTACTCACTGCACCTGAACACCAATGTCTCTGAGCGACCTTGGAGCCCAAATACCAGCAGTGAGATTATTAATCAACCACCCACAGATATTATAGGACTGAACCAAAGAGCCAAACTGACAGACCAACAATTCTGAGTCGTGGTCAAACAGCACTGGGATTCAGAGCAGGAACTGTTTTCCCACAGGAGAAAAGGAAGTATAAATTTCATTTTCAGTAACTTGACTTTTTTTTCAGGTAACCAGTGTTAATACTGAATGAACTGAAGGAGCAATTGGAATAGTCCCTATGTAGAGGACTCAAGCTGTCTTTGTGATTTTATTTGGCAGTGCTACAACTCTTTCAGTACCTAGTCATGACTGGTTTGACAGTTTTACAGAATTGTGGTTGCACATATTTCAAACATGGGTCGGTTTATTGACAATCTCACGCCAAACCAATTTTCAGAGAACAGACTTGAGAAAAAACAAATCTGAAATAATAGTTTTTAGGCAGTTTAGAGATGCACATACAGTACACAGCATTTTAACACAATGACTAAATAAAACAGTGGAGCCAAGCATTGTATATGAGATAGTCTGAGAGATCAGTTGCTTTACATACTTTCGCTCAGACACAACTGTGCTACATTAGTTTACAGCATAAAACAGGAACCAGCTTTATCTTGCAAGTCCTAACCCATTTTATTGCAGTTCCACTTTTCTGTTTCAACCATAGCCTGAAGAAGATGCACATATCATCAACGGTGTGAATTCTTAAGCTTGGGGGAGATATGTTTAGGCATTACTGGCATTTGTATCATCTACTGATGTCAGACAATCTGGATTTGGCCAAAGGGGGAGGAATGTTAAAAGAGCAAGTGCCAACCACCATGGAACCACATGTAATTAAATATCGAGCCCTAAAATATGTGGAGGGGGAAAAGTAATTTTGCATGTCAATCAAAAACATCAAACTTTTTGAGTAGACTTGTGTAAACTCTGAGTTCTTGTGGGAGCTATTATCTAATGGTCTTGAGTGATGCTGCATCTTAAGGGACTTACTGCATGTGGTGGTTTCAGCTAATGTTGCTAAAATAACATGTGCTCATTTCTTCCTAATAATGCATCATATTCATCAAAAGTTCACTGTGCTAAAAGGTTGCCATGTCACATAAGGACTCCTGACTTGTGGACAGGCATGTTCACACATGCTGAAATGTCTTTTTCAAGAGCAAGTAAAATCTCAGTGGATCATCATCATGCTGAAAAAAGAGACAAAAAGGGAATAATGAAAATAAAAAGGCAGAGAGAGGGAATAATGACAGGCCCGCTGCTGATGGAGGTCTGGAGGTAAAGACAGATGGATGTAGAGGTTTCTTTTCTCCCCCTTTCTGTCCTTCCCCTCTTTCTCTTTTTCATCTACTCTCTCTCTCCATCAAGATGCCATTATTCAGGACATTAGCGAAGAAGAGCTAAAAGCTCTCACTGTTGAGGAGGGTCCCAGGGTCCTTTCTGAGAGCTGTGACGCAAACACACATGTACACACACACACTTTGACTACAGAAGTACCATATATATTATAGGTGAAGAGGTAAGAGGTGGTAAAAAGGTCTTATTGCAGACATTACCAGGTATCTAGGCTCCTCTCCTCTGTGGCCAAAAACATGGACATTACCTGACACAAAGAAAGATGAACAGTGCTCGATAAAGCAACACACAGTGTGTTGCACTGGGCTGGCACTGTGTCCTCATGGGTTTATTTACACTGTGTGAACTTTGATACACATCATCTTGTCTCTTTGCTTGCTTTTCTCCTGGTTCCTTTTTGTAATGCCTTGAATAATCTGTGAAAAGATGCTCAAAATTGCTGCATATTGTGTGGACAAATTAGCTAAGGGTACTGATGTGTGCAGCGCTGTGGATAATGTATCAACTGGCAAGAGGTTATTTGACGCCTACTATATCTTCTGTTAATTAATCTCCTTATTTAATTGTGCTTCTTTTAGTCAAGTCTAGATCTCAAGTTTTTAAGAACCTTTCAGTTGTGGACACATTTAGACATATTTTTGTGCCTGAATACCTGATTGTCTCTCCCCACAGTACTGGAGAAAAAGGTGAATGTGGTAATCAGCTGGCTTAGTGCCAGCCTGTCCTGGTGCTCCATCAATATGGCTGAACATGTTTTTAACACACAAGAAGTTTTACATTTATTGTCCAGCAGTGACAGACACACTGGTTCAGTTGTTTTGCCCATGCATACAGTATAAGTAGAATAACATCCACCATCCAGAACTGGCCTTGAAAGTCTTTGAAAGTCCTAATGAGATT